GAGTCCTTCGACCTTCATATTTTACTGTCCGCATCTTTGTTGTGTGTACGAGGTTTCACCTGATTTGTCGTGTGGTCTGAGAGTTCATATTCCTGAAACGTTTCCAGTAACTTTTTGACATTTCAGCGACTGAGGTTCATCCTCGTTGGTTTATTTTCTCCCAGATTTAAAGGAGCTTTTCAAATTTCTTTGAAGTAGTCTTCTTACACATGAGTTACTCCCTTCTCTAAGTCTTTTAATCTTTCCACATGGTTGAACACTGTGAAATTATCATTGTTATTTTTCTTATTGTATCAACTGGGGTTCTTCCTGGCTAAAAATGTGCCTTTTGATTGCACTTAAGCACGACTGGGCCCCCTGGTCGTATGTAAAAGCTGCATAATGATGAGACACAGAGTCTTTGTTACTTTATTCGACTGAAATCTCTGCATTTATTGGTATTTTTAGCCCTTTGAGAGACACAAAGGCATTTAATTTAAAATTTAATTTAAAAAGTAGTTTTTTTTTGTCACTGTCCATTTTTGACTTTTGGTGGATGAAACATTTTATAAATAAGAGAAATCCTGATCGGGCTCACGTAGCTGCCACTTGTGTGAGTTTATAGCTTTCCCCTGCAACCCATGTCTAAGATTCACAGCTGAATTATCTTTAATACTTTTGTCAGCAAACTAAATGTCAATATACTCTTTCTTTTACCATCAGGTCTGATGACCTCTGTAACCTTCAGACTCTGGATGCTGACAGCAGGGTACCCACAGCACTCCCACAGACCGCTCTGCCACCCCATGAAAGCACTCCAGACACAACCACGCCGCATGGAAACGCGTTAGCATGTCCAGAAGATCCCAGAAGCACTCCAGACACAACAACACTACACGAAAACATGTCAGTATCTCCAGAAGATCCCAGAAGCACTCCAGAAGTAACCATACTGCACAAAAGCGCATCAAAATCTCCAGAATATCCCAGAAGCGCTTCAGACACAACCACACTACACGAAAACATGTCAACATCGCCAGATGATCCTAGAAGCACTCCAGAAGTAACCACGCCACATGAAAACACCTCAGCATGCTCAGAAGATCCCTATGAAACCACCATGGCACCCCACCAAGAACCTCCACAGGAGCCCATACGAACACCCCCGTTAACCACTGAAATCACAGCGCTGAATGCTCCCCGTACGCCGTCACCACCTCCCCTCCAGATCTCATCACCATTTCTAGGCACAATAATTTCCCCCGAGGAACCCCTGGTACCTCCTCAAACTGCCCTCAGCAGCTATAAGTTTTGCAACCGGTCACCTCCTGCAGCTTCTCCACATTCTCCTCACAGTCCCAGCCAACCACTGCCAACTGTTACTCAGAGTAATAATACCCAGGATTCCTCCAGATCGCCTCACAGAACTCTTCAGTCCGTCACAGCAGACGGTCAAACAGAGCTCTACAAATCGCCTCCTACCTCACCGCACACGGTTACCCACAATGCCTCTAAGTCCCCGTCAGTGTCTGCTACGCATCCTGCCAAAGCTCCTCCCACTCCTCCATTAAGCCCCTCCCAACCCGATCCTTACCTGCTTACCTCAGTGACCTTTACGTCCAGTGTCTCCTCCCACCTGTACTCCCCCCTCTGCTCCTCCTCCCCCTCTTTCATGCGCTCTCTCGACTCTCTGGGACCTCCCATTAGCCTTCCTCCCATGATGCCAACGGCAACCCATCAACTGACCTCACCTCCTCCAGCTATGACCCCGCCCCCTCCAGAGTTAACCCCACCCCCAGCCCAGCTGTTGGGCTCTGATGATGAGGAGCAGGAGGACCCGTCTGATTACTGTAAAGGTGAGAATTTATCAGAGAAACCTCAGGAGTCCATACTGGATCCCTGCAACAGTAAAGATCTGTCGTGGGTTTAAAATCAAATAAAAGCTCTGGTTTCTTCTCTTTCTGTGCGCTCCAGGTGGATACTACCCTGTGGATATTGGCGATCTGTTTAACGGGAGGTACCACGTGGTCAGGAAACTAGGCTGGGGACACTTTTCCACCGTCTGGCTCTGCTGGGATCTGCAGTAGGCACACATGATGTTTTGAAGACAGTTCGTTGGCTTTTTGCACGGTTTCTGTTGTCACATGATCTGAATGTGTGTCTGATTCAGGAAGAAGCGTTTTGTGGCGCTGAAAGTGGTGAAGAGCGCTCCTCATTACACTGAGACGGCTCTGGACGAGATCAAACTGCTGCGATGTGTGAGTGTTTGCTCTCTTATGCTTTCTCTAAACAACGGCAACAACGTGGGCTGTGGCTCAGGTAACCAGAGTGTCTGTCCTTCCAGGTGAGAGACAGCGACCCCTCTGACCCCTACAGAGAAACCATCGTCCAGCTCATTGATGACTTCAAGATCTCTGGAGTCAATGGAGTGCGTATCCTTTAACCAAGTTTTCTAATTTCTTTTTAAAAAGATTTATTTTTCCATCTTTCAGAATGACGCTACACGCTAATTAGTGGTCAATATAAAAAATGACCCCCTTGTTTGTAATTTGAAAGTTCACCTCCAGCATTTCCCATGTAGCTTTTTCATACTGGAAAGCTGACCAGTCGCTGTTGTTGTGATTCATTGAATCATTCAGCGGCTGTGCCACAGTCTGGCCCTGCAGTGGGACAGACATGAAGACCTGTGTTATCCTTTCATTGTCCGTGGATATACACCACAGTGTTTCGGATCGACACAATCCTGAGCCCTGTTACTGCAAATGTGAAAAGTCACAGGTCTTTCGTTGCACAGTTGTGAACAGGAATCCTTCCTCTTCGCCCTTAAGGTCGGTAGATTAAAGACATCGAGAAGAAGAAGAAGAAGCTGAGAATGAATTAAACTCTTTGCTGTACTTTCCTGATTATTATCAATGAAGAATTTTTATATTTGTTGAGGTATTTTAAGGTGGTGTTGTGTAAATCTACGCGGGCTGAAGACATCATATCAAAGCAAATCTGCTGGTTCTGTTCTGGAGATTCACCAGCACACGAAGAACCGGTTAGCGAGCCGCTATACGAAGCTCAGCGAGGCTGCAGAGCAGGACAGATCCATCCGTGAAGGAGACTTGCTGGAGAGGAAGCTGATTATGTTTTTCCATTCGTTTTTACCAAGTAGACTTGGTACTTGTGTGGTACTGTTTAATAATTAATTTTAGAAAGAGTGGGCTGTTAGTTTCCTCAGCCGTTCTCAGATGTCTGTATGGTTCTGGAAGTTTTGGGTCACCAGCTCTTAAAGTGGATCATCAAGTCAAACTACATGGGACTTCCTCTGGCCTGTGTCAAGGCCATCATCAGACAGGTAGCGCATGCAAACACAGATCTATACAGTGTATATATACAGTGACTTGGACTTGCTGACCCGCACGGACTCGGCTGTGCGCTTGCAGGTGCTGCAGGGTCTGGATTACCTCCACACCAAGTGTAAGATCATCCACACTGACATCAAACCAGAGAACATCCTGCTGGAGGTTGATGAGGTTTACGTCAGGAGATTGGCAGCTGAAGCTACTATCTGGCAGAGAGCTGGAGCCCCACCCCCTTCTGGATCATCAGGTAATCAGCTGCTATGTGATTGGTCGGAACTAGGAAGCGTTAGTGTCTCTTTTTAAGTGTCAGGAACCTGCTAATGAAGCTTTTGTCAAGTGTTTTCCAATCAAAGTGAGAAATCGATCAGTGAGCTCAGTGATCAGTGAGAAACAGAAATGTTTAATGCTAAGACGTGTTACACACAGTTACTGGGAGCTGTGGTTTCCACTCCATCCAGAGAGACATCTACCTGCCTGTCTGCTTTCTGAGCTGTCTCCTTCTCCTTTCTTACACAGCTCTAACTGCACTGTTTCTCCTGTCTCTCTGTTTTCCTCCTTTTCTTCTTCCTGTTTCTGCCGTTTCCTCCCTGTTTGTCTGTCCCTGTGTGTCTCTCTCTCTAGTTAGCACGGCTCCCAGGGATCTAGAGGTAAGTTTCCAGATGTGATGCCTACTGTATTCAAGTGCAACCTCTAAACACCTAGGTCAGGGGTGGCCAACTCCAGGCCTCCAGAGCCGGTGTCCTGCAGGTTTTAGATGTGTCCTGGATCCAACACAGCTGATTCAAATGGCTAAATTACCTCCTCAACATTTCTTGAAGTTCTCCAGAGGCCTGGTAATGAACTAATCATTTGATTCAGGTGTGTTGACCCAGGGTGTTATCTAAAGCCTGCAGGACACCGGCTCTCAAGGCCTGGAGTTGGCCACCCCTGACCTAGGATATCTTTCCTTTATCTGGCTTCAAATACCCTAAAATCATCAATCAGGCTAAGCAGTCACGTGGAGATTATCGGCTTGATACGTTTAGTTAGAATCACCACAAACTCCAGTGGCAATTGTTTGGCAGTATGTAGTCGACTGGAAACATGGAAAGGTCTACTAGCATATTTTTATATGCAGGTATAGTGTAAAAAAGCACTGTATTGATGTGTGAGTGTAAAACAGTGTGAGTGGCCAGTAAAACTGGAAAGCCCTGGAACCAGTCCTGTTAAAACCAGAAAAAAAGTCAGACTGTGTGAATTATTAGACTGATCGGTATCACCGTTCCAACACTGAGGCACAGCAAGATCATTTTTAAAATAATTATTCTTCAGCTCGTGTTGAAATGTGAGAGCAGGGGAGAGCAGGCATATACAAAAGTAATAAATGTAGAAGCTCCCTTATTCATGAGGTCGCCACAGCAGGTAGCTTCACACCAGGGACCTTTTGCATGTTACACTATGGAGCCACAAGTAGGTAAAAAGTTCACAATCAACCTGGTAATACGCTGGTGTGCAACTAAAAGGGTTTGCTGTTTTTATATGGTTTTTTATTTTTATTTATATTTTTATATATGGAGCAAAATGGCTCTAAGATTACTTGCTGCCAGTGGGACAGAAATTTAGGCAGGAATTATGTTTTCACTTCTGCTGAGTACTGTATCTCTCACTGAAGCTAATCAGGAATGAAAAATTATTTGGGTCTCAAAAAACTGGAGAAACTCCTTCTGTGAGCATTATATGTGCTGCATACCTGCAAAGAAGGGGTGGGGAACTCCAGCCTCGAGGGCCGGTGTCCTGCAGGTTTTAGATCTCACCCTGGGTCAACACACCTGAATCAAATGATTAGTTCATTACCAGACATGTTGAGGAGGTAATTTAGCCATTTGAATCAGCTGTGTTGGATCAGGGATATATCTAAACCCTGCAGGACAGCGACCTTTGAGGCCTGGAGTTCTCCCACTCCTGCTCTAAGGTATCTCAAACAGGATAAGTTATCCTGCTGCTGTTCTCTCATAAGAACTGCGTTTGTGACACTGAAAAGATGAGTTCAAACCTGAAGTTACCTCACTCAGCCTCAGATCCTGCCTTGTAGTACAGGTATCAGATACGTTATAGCTGTAGTAAACTATTGCAAGCTGATTGGCCGAAGGTCAAGAAAAGGAACTGTGTGCATGGGTGTGTGTTGTCAGTAACAACAGGCGTGTGTTTGAGCGTCTTGATTACAGAAACATAAAATTGTTACTGTTGTTGTTGAAGCCTCACTGTCCCGCTGCCTGTCTCGCCCTGTGTGCGCGCAGATCGGAAAACTTTCTAAAAACAAGAAGAAGAAGTTGAAAAGAAAAGCAAAGCGACAGCAGAAGTTGTTAGAGGAGAGGCTGTTTGATATACAGGTACAGTAGCACTGCAGTAATAGTACTGTGAAACATGCTGCACCAGTCCTCCAGCAGTACTGCAGGGTTAACTCTTCTGTTTGTGTGTTCAGAGGATGGAGGAAGACGATGGTGTGCTGCAGGCTGAGGATGCAGACAGTATCGGTGAGTGTGACCGTTAGTAAAGGCCGAAGTAGAATTTGTTGTCTAACACAGTATAAATACGGTGTTTCTTTGTTCTTAGGCTCTCTGGTTGTCAATGGCAACACGTCCTGCTCTATAGCCAATAGCAAAACCAGCCCAGAGTCCAACTGCTCTTGGTTTGAGGATGGGTGTAACGGCCACGCCCCCGGACGGTTCTCAAGTCCCGCTTCTGGCCTATCAGGGTTCTCCAGCTCAGTGATGTCAGCAACGTCTGAATCGGCACTTTCTACTCAGTCCGGATACTCGAGTGGACGAGAAGGTTGGACATGCTCACACGTTTCAATTTAATACTTCGCCTTTAGTCATCGTTTGTAGTCTGTTTTTGTAGCAACTGAGAGATTTTTGGCCCATTCTCCCTAGAAAGACTTCCAGTTTTATATTTCACTACTATCTTTCTCACACTGCTCTAAGTTATTCTACAGATTTTAGGATAAAGAGCAGGTTCTGATCAGGGGACTGAGGACCAGCCCAGGGAGGCATCCCCTACAATGATATGATGATGAAGCAAAGGAGTTGTTCTACTCTTAGCTCCTCCCACAGATCTTTCAGAGGAAGCTGATTTGTGCTCCTTGTATCAAAGGGATCCTCAGACTCAACAATTCAGACAGCCCACTGTCCCCAAAATTCTATCCAAAAATGTTCTGTACACAGCATAAGCTAACCACACTTGATGGGACTTCTTCAGCTCAATGGTTGGTTAGGGAACTCTGAACTGGAGGTGGAACGTGGCCCATTTGTACTCTCAGAGTCCTGTAATCTCTGCCAAATGAAAGTTTAAATCTCCTGGACTGGGACCTCTGCCAAACGCTCCCACTCCACCCTCGCTATATGCTTTAGTATGCCAGACATGCTCCCCCACCTCATGATCCTACTCGCCGCCGAGTGGTGATCTTTTGACAGTTTGGCTCGTCTTCATCCAAACAGCTGAAAGAGTTACAGCCACAGGTCCGATGATGCAGTCAGAAAATCTAGAATTGAGTGGCAGCCTAGGATGTCCTGTTGCTAACTGGACTCATGATGAACATGCTAATGCTCAAACATGGTGTTATGGGCAAACTAATCCAATAATAGAGCACCACCACCCCGGACCACCAGGTTTGTCCACGTGACCACTGAAGCCACCCAGCAGAAGTTCTTCCAGCACCTCACTCAGTGTCTGCAAATTAGCCAAATCCTTCTAACTGCTGCATTAACACAAACAGCAGTTAAGCCAATCAGGTTTAACTGATTTTCCTTTTTTTTAAATTTCAGCATTCAGCGCCTCCGACTTTGTCCTGAGTCCTCTGGATTCCCAGAACGCAGACAAGATCAGAGTGAAGATCGCTGATCTGGGAAATGCATGCTGGGTGGTGAGAATCCTTTTTCACGGTCATCTCTTCCTCTCGTTTATTTTCCCGTCAGACCAATCAGACGGCTCCTCTCTCTTTTCCCGTCTTATGTCTCTTTTCCAGCACAAACACTTCACAGAGGACATTCAGACCAGACAGTACAGAGCTCTGGAGGTTCTGATTGGAGCAGAGTACGGACCCCCGGCTGACATCTGGAGCACTGCCTGCATGGTACACGTACTCACTGGTGCAAAATACATAGACATGCTTTACATGCGGGATTTTCCCCAGTCTGACTGTTACAGCATATTCATCAGACCATTGTTGTATGTAACCATTAAATATTGTCCCTGTATATAAATAAATAGGCCTTTTATTTCGAAAGCAATTCTCTAAAATAAACGAGATGAGAGCAGTGGTGTGTGTGAAACAACTCTGCCTAAACTCTGTGTTTTATACACGGTCCCTGCACGATCCCATTTCCATTAAAGTCATCTGATCTGGATAATTTGATGAAGATTGTTTGTTTCAAGGTTGATCTGACAGATTGTTTATGAAATGCAGTTTCTACCCATCTGGCAACAAATAAAAGTTGCTGATCTGTGTTTTTCTGTTATTCTGACTGGTTTGAGGGTCACACAGTAATGGGAGTGTTGGCTGTCACTGCACAAAATGATGCTCAGAAGAGATTTTGCAAGTCTCAGATTTGGTGTGGTGGTGTCAATTCAGTTCAATTTTATTTATACAGCGCCAAATCACAACAAAAGTCGCCTCAAGGCGCTTTATATTGTACAGTAGATACAGAGAAAAACCCAACAATCATATGACCCCCTATGAGCAGCACTTTGGCGACAGTGGGAAGGAAAAACTCCCTTTTAACAGGAAGAAACCTCCGGCAGAACCAGGCTCAGGGAGGGGCGGGGCCATCTGCTGCGACCAGTTGGGGTGAGAGAAGGAAGACAGGATAAAGACATGCTGTGGAAGAGAGACAGAGGTTAATAACAGATATGATTCAATGCAGAGAGGTCTGTTAATACATAGTGAGTGAGAAAGGTGACTGGAAAGGAAAAACTCAATGCATCATGGGAATCCCCGGCAGCCTACGTCTATTGCAGCATAACTAAGGGAGGATTCAGGGTCACCTGGTCCAGCCCTAACTATATGCTTTAGCAAAAAGGAAAGTTTAAGCCTAATCTTGAAAGTAGAGATAGTGTCTGTCTCCCGAATCCAAACTGGAAGCTGGTTCCACAGAAGAGGGGCCTGAAAACTGAAGGCTCTGCCTCCCATTCTACTCTAAATACTCTAGGAACAAATGGGAGGGAGAGCCTTTCTCTTTTCAGAAAGACATCTACTGTGATAAAGTCTACTCTCCTGCTGTGTAATCAATTATTGTAAATGTTATCAGGAAATCATCAGACAGCAGAGGGTTTTCAGGAAACACTGTTAAATGTTCAGTTTCTATGCCATATGTTAAAACAAGATCTAGAGTGAGATTAAAGTGGTGGGTGGGTTCTTTTACATTTTGAGAGAAGCCAATTGAGTCTAATAACAGATTAAATGCCATGTTGAGGCTGTCATTTTTAGCATCTACATGGATGTTAAAATCACCCACAATAATTATTTTATCTGAGCTCAGAACTAAATCTGATAAAAAGTCTGAGAAATCAGACAAACTCTGTAAGGCCCAGGTGGACGATAGATGATAACAAGTAAGACTGGTTTCTGAGTTTCACAGCTGGGGTGGACGAGGCTAAGCATCAGGCTTGCAAGTGAATTAAAAGTCTGTCTGGGTCTTTGGTTGATTAACAGGCTGGTGTGAAAAATTGCTGCCACGCCGCCCCCTCGGCCTGTGCTTCGAGGTTTCTGGTAGAATGACTCGGGGGTGCTGATTCATTTAAACTAACATAATCATCCTGCTGCAACCAGGTTTCTGTAAGGCAGAGTAAACTGTGTAAACTGTACTGCGAGCTCGGTCCTGAGACGTTTTGCTTTAGGCAAATTCAAATTCACTTGGTATTCTTATAGGTGCAGGCAGCAGACCTTCTGATTGCGTGCACTGATCTATGCAGAGAATGTACACACCGTGTGTCCTTCATCTGTGTTTCCCTGACAAGTTATTGATGTGTGATTCAGTCAGTGGTCACATGATTAAATGAATCATTGATTTTGGTGTTTCAGGCGTTTGAGCTGGCAACAGGAGATTACCTGTTCGAGCCCCATTCAGGAGAAGACTACACCAGAGATGAAGGTACTACTGCACAGCTGGCAGTACACTCAGCTGTACCACCCACACACACACAGTACTGTAGTGTTAGACTGACTGTGTTTACACTACCTCAGTGTGACTTTTCACTGTGTGTTCAGATCACATCGCTCACATCATCGAGCTGCTGGGGCCGATTCCTTTGCCCTTCGCTTTGTCTGGCAGGTACTCCAGAGAGTACTTCAGCAGGAGAGGTGAGACAGTTTACCTTCAGTGATCCTAAACTGTAGAGAAAGGGGGGGGAAGTTGGAACTCTTGTTGCAGATGGTAAAGCTTGGGAGTTTTTCTGTCCTCCTTATTCAGTGAACCTGGTTGTTTTTAAAACCAGATGCCTCTCTTCCTGTCTCAGGTGACCTGCGTCACATCTCCAACCTGAAGCCGTGGGGTCTGTTCGAGGTTCTGCTGGAGAAGTACGAGTGGCCACTGGACCAGGCGGCTCAGTTTAGTGACTTCCTGCTGACCATGTTGGAGCTGCAGCCTGAGCGGAGGGCGACGGCGGCGGAGTGCCTGCAGCACCCGTGGCTGCAGACATAGATGCGCACGCAGCCTCAGGGGCTGCACGCAGAGACAGTCGGCGGTCGGGGAGGGTTGGATGCGTCTGTTGAGCTCACATAATGTGGGAAATTGTTATCTTGATCATGTGTCTGCGCTGATTCCTGAAGTAACTGGATGATTGATTGATTGGCTGAGGCTGGATCCAAACTGAATCGGAGTCCTCACGTCTCATATGTGAGTATTTTAATATGTTCAGTATAATTTCTGATAGAAAACTCCAGTTCTTCCAAGTTTCTCTTTTTTCTACATCGAACTTAAACCTGCGTCTCCTGCTGACTTGTTGTGGGACTTCCTGTGCGACTTCCTGTGCTTAAATAAGAGTCAGGTGGACTTGAGTCCGAACAGGTGATGCAGCAGTAAACACAGCCTGTTTCTAAAGACCAGTTTAACCAACATGCAGTCTTTATTGATGTGTCCACTGAAGCGAAATAAGCTGTACTCTTCCTCCTTTGATCTTCCTGTGTTGATTAAGTTTGACTGTGCGGAGGTGAGTTTTTTGCCCTCCCCGAGGTCAAACGTCAGCGATCAGGGCCGCCCTGCTCCTAACTTTTATCAGCCGCTCGCAGACGTTTTTATCTCTTTATGCACACCTCACAAAAGTCTGCATTTTTGCAGGCTTTGCTTGAGGATATTAGCGTAGTGTTGTGACGTTAAATATAGTTTTAGTGTTAATAAGCATGGGAAATGACGTTTAGTGTGTTGGTTTGCGGCAGAAGGAAATGCAGAACTGAATCAGAGCACATCAAAGTTCCTTATATTAAGAATTTTAAAAAAATGTAAATTTTAATATTTATTAGTTACGTTTCATTCACTGTAAGCGAACGACACCAGTGAATGCCAGTGAAGTGTGTGAGGGCGTTTGATGAGCGAGAGGATTTTGTTTTGTGTGTTTGCTGCGTTGGCACCTTTGTGTCGACTTTACTCCAGAGTTTGGATCTGTTATTAGTCACAAAATGACGGGAAAGTTAAAGCTGGGCTCGCGTCCTAATCTGCTTCATCCTTGTCTGTCACTTTCAGTAAAGCAAGGATATCTTTGCTCTGAACCTTTTGCCTTTGCTGTTCTTCCTCCCGCAGTTTTCTAAGCAATCCACTGCTTTCAGCCTTTTTTTTTATTTTTTAAATTAAATATAAAACTATGCTGAAATGCTACAATGAGCCTCGCCGGTGTTGACGAAGCCTTACGGTGGAAACATTTGGATTCAGCCTCAGTCTTCTCACCTCTGCTGACCTTTGGCTCGGTTGAATGAGCGAGTTTTAAGTTTCCTTCCTGCACTTTGTCTCTGTCCCGGTCACTCAGCTGCATTTCTCTGATTTCTGCTGAGTTCATATTTAACTGTCCCTTTGTCACTTCCTGCTGAACCTGTGAGATGATGACTATTGATTACTGATCAGAGACTTCTAGGACTCGTGAATCTCCCTGATGACTTTTGTTTAGATGAGCACACTGTAGCTTCCCGACAACAGTTGACCCCCACCCACCCACCCCGCCCACAGTATTATTGATGATGGTATTGATCTTTGTAGCTGAAGGTCAAACTGAATTGTCCTCTGATGACCTCTGACCTCCCCTGTTCACCTGCCCTCACCTCTTTCTATGTTCATATGATAAATAGTGCCTTGAAATAACCCCACCCCCTCCTCCCCATCACATTGATATAATAAGGTTGTTTTTTTCTACATGTCAGTGTGGAATGTTTATTCTGTGAAAATAAAGATGAACGAACACTCACCTGACTTTTAGTTGAAGCTTTATTGATCACTTGCAGTATATGCTGGGTTACTGCTGTTTATCACCTCCTTTATATGCATTAATTATTTCATGGCTAATTCTGACTTTTTAAAATCAGTCATTAGAAGAAAAACCTGAAACTGAAGACGTTGCCTTTGATTGAAGCCGTTCTCACTGCTTTATAACCTCCTGAGATGACGAGAGACATCTGCTTAAATTGAAGGGGAGCCTGCTTTTAAACACAAATCAGTGTACAAGAAGCCGGGGCTGATTCTGTGTCAGAGCCGGATTTAGCTGCTGATGGGCCTGTGGCAGAAACTGATCCTGGGAAAACACCACTTGCAGCTGCATTACATTCCAACTGTGGTGGGCTGGTTAAGGCCACGCTCACACAGGCCCAGTTACCGATCAGTGACCCCCCCCCCTCCCTCCCTATTTGGGGAAAAACGTGTATTCCCCAGCTGGTTGGTGAGAACTGCAACTGGTTGCAGAGAAAGACACGGGCCAGAAGTTGCTGTGAGTAGTTCGACTACAGGTGCCTGTAGACCAAGCTGCTCGTGTTCACTCAAAACAATGCTTGCATTTCGAGCAGACGCATTTGCAGTTGACTCTGCTCGCTGCTAAAAATATATTTTTTTCCTTTAATGCAAAGTCAAGCTGCACAGAGCAAATAAGGAGAGCAGGAGTTCTGGCACATAGAGGCAGTCTATATTTCAAATTACGACCCCACGCAGACTGAAATTCCAGCTGAGCGAAAGCTTGAACAAAGCTGTCGGATGTGAACCTGGTGTGTTCCCGTAGAGAGGCTCATCAGCTCGATGTCATCCATGCAGTGGTGCACAGCACAGAGGACCAGTTTCTTAAACGCAGTATGAAGCCGTCTGCGAACTGTTCCTGAGCTAACCTGAAGGCCACATAAAGTTTGGAGGTCTGTAGCGATCGACCCCGCTCTGATTTTACCACCTCATGGCTGAGTTGCTGTCATTCCCAATCACTTCCACTTTGCTATAATCCCACTAACAGCTGACTGGAGTATTTAGTAATGAGGAAACTTCACTGGACTTGTTGCACAGGTGGCATCCAATCACGGTACCACGCTGGGGTCCCTTTCACAAATGTTTGCAGAAGCAGTCGGCATACCTGGGTGCTTGATTCTATACGCCTGTAGCCATGGAAGTGATTGGAACACCTGAGTTCAGTGATTGGCTGGGTGAGTGAATACTTTTGGCAACATAGTTAATGAAAACGAGTTCACTGGACTCAGGTGGTCTCCACAAACCTGAAGCAACTGCACGAACCTCTGAAGGCTAAAGTCTGTCTGACCCAGTACTAGTAAGATGTATAATTCTATATGTTGTGATGTACAGTATAGCGACAGCACTGCGTATGGTCAAAGTGTTTAATAATAATAATAAAAAATTCATCCACAGGAAGCAGAGTGACTCCGGTTTAAGGACATCGTCCTCGTCCACCTGCTCCAGACTGAACGTCCCAGCAGGCGGCCGACAAACAGCACGCCTTTCTGAGCCTGCAGGACCCTTTCAGTCTGGAGCAGGTGGAGGCTGAGGCCCAGCTTTCACTAAAAAGTCTCTTCCTGTAGGTCAAAGGTCGGCTGCTTCAGTCTCTCAGTTTAACAGTTCATCCTAAAATCTTCACTTCTTCTTCCTCACCACCGTCCAGCCATCTTCTTCATCCTGAGTAGGAGGGGGAGGAGGAGGATGTGTCCTGCTGACCGATGGACCAGACGCTTCACACTCCATCTCCTGCACACACAAACAACCATCACTCAACCCGGGTGATTTCATTATCTATATATATATAAAAAGTTCCCACCTGAAGCCCTCAGTCAGCTGTGTCTTCATACTATGAATGAGCCCCTGACGTACACGGGGCGGGGCCATATTTGGCTTTTTAGTGTCCTGGTTTTTCCAGGAATTTTAAACCTTCATAACTTCATGAAACACATTTGAGTTTTGTTTTAAAACAGCAACCAAATCCATTTTACACCCACTCCACATATCGTAATGTTTTCTGTCTGTTTACGACTATAATATGAGCACAGAAGCAGCACAACTTTACAAACTGACAGAACGAGGATGTAACTGCATCAGAGAAGCTGAAAGATTTTCAAACTACAGTTTCCTTCCATCCATCCGGAGCTGGAGCTGAAAGCAAGACACATACTGGACAGTCCATGGCAAATACTCCGTAATTATGTGATACAGTCATTTTTAAACCACAAAAGGAATCACGGCTAGAAGATCAAAATGGATGCAACACTGCAAAACTCAAACAAAATACACTTTTTGAAGATTTCTGCTCGAGTGGGCGCACAACTGATGGGGCTGCAGGTTTTAACAAAGCCTATAAAATGTAATTCAGGTGTGAAAGATTCAGATTACTCGTTCAAAAAGGTTGAACGTCGCTCAGAGATTCTCAGCGGGAGTGACGGAGATCAAAATCCACAGTCCTGATTCTGACCTGTGTGTGTGTGTGTGTGTGTGTGTGTGTGTGTGTGTCAGGTGAGCCGTACCTGTGCGTCATCGTTGCTCTCTTCATCAGACTGTGTGGGCTGAGCCGTGACCTTTGCCCTTTGACTCTTATTCTGTGTCAGAGTGTTGATGGTGTGTTTGAGCTGCTCCAGTGCCCCCTGCCGCCACTGACCGAACATCTGCAGCAGATTGGCGGACACCTACAAACACACACACACACACACATCACCTTCAGACCAGCACTAAGCGGACGATTCTGTTCATTCCTTCAGTTTTTGTTCGGTGTGGAATAAAATAATAAAACTACTTTAATTGCTGCGCTTTCGTTCAAACAAGTTGACGTCAATGAGGAAACAACTGTGTGGAGAGTTTAGAGGTTTGAACAGTGAAAAGTTGGCCGCTTAAATGTTTACAAGAACAAAGAGCTCAGAGAAACCGAGTCGTCCTGGAAAGCGTCAGGAAAGAAGAAATAACGAGGCTCAAACAAAGCAGAAGAGATCAAACGGAGCCGCTTTAACAGAATCCGCAGCGCTTTTGTTCAAAAGGCAGCAAAACTTCAAAGTGACAGAGAAGCAGGTGTTGTTAAGGTGGATGCTAAATTTGAAGAAAAGCAGCAGGTGTGACTCTTCTCCAGGATGAGACCGACATGAATCTCTGAGGACTCAACGCCAGCTCCAAAAGGACGACCAGGAAACACCCAGGAACAAAAACCGCATAAAGGAAAGAGGAGGCATCAGATAAGAAAAGTGATGAAGCAGCAGGATGGACGGACGGGGTTATGGAAACATCTGGGAGCTCATCATCACACAGTGTTTATGTTCTGCAAACCACAGACTGGCTGAACGCACCACCTCTGCTCGACCATAAAACACGAACAGCCCATTTTCAACCGCGAGTTCTGCATCATTAATCACATCATGGTGAACGCTGCAGCTTCGTTCGTGAGGCAGTACGAGCGCGAGAACTGCCGTGTATTTTCATAAACACAACAAAAAGACTAAACTAAATATTCTCCTGGCGAGAAGAAGAACCGATGAACTCATGCCTCGCTCGTCCTACTGAACTAACTGATGACGACGTTAATAAGACCACGCAGATATAATGCTGACATCAGGAGGCAGGAAGGTGATGAAGATAACCAGAATTTACATGCAGACATGTCATAAACATGTTTTTAGTATAACATCATATCCATGCAGAGAATGAGAAATGTAGCCTCTGATCCCGAGGGTTTACTTTTCTCCACAGAAGACTTAAATATAGTGAAGATGAGTGCATTTTAAAAACAGGATTTAAAAAAGAAACACTGTTGTTGCTGTTGTCTTTGTGTGTGTGTACCTGTGGTAAACTCCCATCATCCACCACTGTATTGAACTCCTGATCCATCAGCTCAGCGATGAAGTCCTCGACTTCGTACTGCTGCAGGTCAGCTGACACACACAGACACACGGAGATGTTAACACAACATCAAAAATGACCCTGAAGCTTTCGCTGTTTAATTAAACGTGGTTCTGCTCCTTATTTCTATTCTTAGACTCCACTAGTAAAGCTCTGCATGGCGCACAGTTCAAAACATCTTAAACTGCTCCTCAGTTCATCCTGTCTGAAATATTATAGATCATCTCCCTTTAAACCAAACTTCTTCTGACAGGCTACGTCTTGCAAACAGAGGGTTTAAACTACAGGTGGGCGGGGTTTCAGCGTCTACAGGCAGAACATATTAAACATACCCTCTTTCTCTGGCATCTTATTGAGGAGCATTTGGAGCAGTCTGAAGCCTTTAGGCTCACATGGGTTGCTTTTACATACATACCTCATTATTTGAGACTTAGGTTTGATGTGAACATGGAGCAGAAAAGAAGGACAACAGGAGCCCTTTAAACCTCTGAGACACACTTGACTGAGTTTCCCTTTAATCAACTTGATATCGACAGAAACTTTGCCTAATTATTTGTCTTTTCTTATGCAACATTAAATGTAATCCATATCTCACGCTGTCCTTTGTCAGATTCAAAGAACAGACTGAACCGTTGGAGGTTCAAAGTCACTTTTATTCATGCATCCTGTTTGCTGCACGAGCTCAAACTGAGACAACCCAGATCACATCTAATGATCACTGAAAGCTTAAACTCGATTTAAAGGGTTCACCCACTTCTAATTAGCACCGTAACAACTACACATACCCACCGTTGTCATGGAAATACTGCTGAACCACATCCACCATCCAATCAGCTTTCTGCTGGCCGTAGACGCCTCCAAACCCGTTATCCACCGCAATCTGTCCCACAAACAGAGATGGTACATTTTATTGCTGTGACTTCACATCATACATAACATCAGATTTCTAATGTTGACTTAAGAATAAACAAGCTAATTAATAAATTCTGATAAACAGAGAATCCTGCGAGATGTTGCAGGCACCCAACTCAAACACATCCTCCCCACACGTCTGTTTAAATTAAGAACACACTGTTTAAGTACACTTTTTTCATATTGCTTGGTCTTGTAATTTTCCAATAAAAACAGTTCATGCTTTGTGCATGAACTGTGTTGACTCCACCACCCAGCATCCAGACTCCCACACTCCAAGCTCTACCTGCATTCTGCTGAAGTAATGAATCATTTTGAAACATTTAAAAAGATGAACTATCCAAAGGTCAAAGTTCATCACCTTCTTTTGGTTGCCCCCTTTAGGGATCGCCACAGCAGATCATCTGTCTACAGTCACACCAACTCTCTGCATGTGCTGCTTCACTACATCGCTGAATCGAATCCTTGTCTTCAAATTGTCCTCCTGCATTGCAGCTCCATCTTTACACATCCGAACTGAGCTCCACGCTTCAATAAATAACACTCATCTTGGCCAAGAAGGACTGGATTGATGATGATGTGGGTACAGTAAGGCAGAATCATGAAGATACTTCCAAAACAGGTCTTCTGTTTATTTGATATAAAACTGCTTTCTAAATCCTGCCGACTACAGTCTACTTAGCAACATAAAAACAATCACAACACAACGCCCGTGTGCCAAAAAGTGATTCCCGGTATTTACACTTCCATAAAAAAGACATTTTGACCTACAATATGTGAGATATATGTGAACTGTCTCCCTCATGTATGATATCAAGTCATCTTGAGCCACAAACAACATTCCTCTCACAAGGTAGAAGTCGCCGTCAGTTTGTGGCAGAGTGACTTTTGTATTTATCTTTTATTTATCCAGTTAAAAGGTCCCGCTGCCATAAAAATGCTCTGTGTAGGTCTGTGATTTGGTTTAACAGAACATAAGCTCCTCACGTGAGAAGCTGTTAGCATGTTAGCATCATATCGGTTATCGTTGAATCAGTAACCCGTCTGGGTATCAGCTGGACCCGTCTGCCTGCCGCTCAGGAGGCACTCGATCGGCTCTAACTCACCTGAAGAACCGGCCAGGTTTGAAGAACCGCTCGGACTCCCTCCGTGAAGACCTCACGTGAAGCCGCGGAGGCCGCCATGTTGGGTCTGACAGACGGAAGGAGCCGAGTGCAGAAACAGAGATCAGACAGAAGCGATCGTTCAGGAAAAGCGTGCTCCTTCCAATCGAAACGGGACTGTGACAAAAAGCTAAAGAAATAAACAGACATGCATGTAAACTCTGAACTGCTCTAATTGTCAGGTTCATCAAGGTGCTGGAAACTTTCCGTCCATGTTGACATTATTGTACTGTGGAGGCCCAGGAGTGCCAAAAGGAATTAAATAAATACATCATTAAAAAATGAATTGAATGTGTCAATAATTAATTA